CTCTTCATTATCTTCTTTCCTATCTCAATTAACATAATAAGAATCAACAGTGAATTAAGTAGTCTGAAAAGAAGGCATTATTCGTTTGATTCTTAGTTCAAATTTCATCAGGTCATTCTAACACACAAGAGAAAATATTTATGCATTAAATTATATCAAAGACTTATCTCATCATTGGCTAGTTATTTCATCTTAGTGTGTATTACATTGTTCAGTTATCTAATTGAGATACTATGATATACACGCTTAACATGCTCGAGTTTAACGTAGGACATGAGTGAAAAAACTAAGCGTAACTAGGATGCTGTATCGGCAAACTCATTGGTAAATATATAACACTTTTTTTACCACCTCTTACGTGCCATCTGCCCTTGAACTGGCATGTGCTCAGAGGCATGTGATGCATCGATACTCAAGATGGTGGAGAAGATTTGTAGCTCAGGTGGATGTTTTTGATGGAGTTTTGTTCTCTGAGCTGGATGGTTTGGTTGTGGAGCTTTCATCGGTCTTCTGAATGAAATCATCAGCACAAACTTCAGATGGAAGTGAAGCGTTCGAATTTCTCCACATGTGGTTCACAGCTTGTCCTATACATCGATATTCACCTAACCCATCAGTATGCTACTACTCATTAATGCGCGTCCATGACCTATTAACAGAGTATTGAACTCAGGGACTTCATTTCTTAGGACGAGCACTTAATCTCTAGACCACAAAGTCGACATTCACTGGTCTGTATGTTAAGCTTCAATCAATTCACGATGTGCAGCGACTATCTTTCAATGCATTCGGAGAATAACTACCTCACACTTGACATTAGTTAACTTAAGAACTTCGTGAATTATCATTCAAAATTAGTCAACAGTGATTATATAACTTAATAGCTATTATATAATAAGTTAACAGAGATAATGTGAAACCAGATTGCATCAGATAAATGTTTCATTTTAGCTCAATAGTACAAAATTAACGACTACACAGCATATAATGTTTTTAAGGTATCTAATACCAATCAATTCCAAAGTAAATTGAAGTAGTTGTTCCATACGATACCATATAATTAATATCAATAAGAACTTTGCAAACTTCTATTGATAAACTTGTGTTACAGTCAATCAAACGGAAAGTAAGTTTATAAAACGTCCTCAGTATATCGTATACCTTGTTCTGATCCAATTGTTCAAATAGATAATATTCACTATGAACTCTGAAAGTTCAAGGTTTAATCCATGATCACAATGGGAATGAACATTAGTGATGAACATCAGTTATCCTTTACTGGTTGGTTATGTAGCTAAGTCAATCTGTGATATAAGACATTCTTATTTCATCAGTTGGTAGCATTAACGTCCTAGTCAATCAACCATAAGCAAAGTAGAACCTAGAAGTTTAATCGGTTACTTTCTCCAAGTTGGCACACCTTTAAGGTATTATATAAGAAAACTGTCATGATTTTAGTTGGAATTTCAGTGTTTTTTCCCTTTAAAATATTCTCCTTCATAGATTATACACAATAGAATATCCGTAAACTTTCAATGACAATGTTAATTCCCTTTCTCTCCATTTAGTGAATCAATACAAAAACTCATAGTAGAAAAACAAATAATCATGTTTCAGCCCTAAATTCTTCATTTTTAATTATAAATAACTGATTTTAGATAATATATCTAGTGAGAGGGATGTTTATTTACTGAATATAGTAACTTATCTTGTCCTAAAATTAGGCAACTTTAGATGAAATGATACTATTAATGTTTATATCATTGAAGCTTTATCAGTTGTATGTATGTAAGTTCACTATACAAATTTTCACAAAACTAAACAAAGCGGGTGTTCTAGTGATATATATATATATATATATATGCTGATTTATTGTACAATCACGGAAGTCAGTATTATTGGTGTCCGTGTGATAGCTAATGTGTGTCAGATAGATACAGGTATCTATAATGGAAGATGGTCAAAGTTAGACATTAATACCGTTGAATGTCAGCTGAGTGGTCTAAAGGTTAAGTGTTTGAGCGTCAGAACCAATGTTCAGGGTTTGAATTACGCGTGCGAGATTGTAGATGTACACTGCTGAGGAGTCTCATGTTAGGACGAAACAGTCGTTCAGTGCTCCCAAGTCACAATTGATTTACCACTGGGTGGTGATCAATCTCATGCTTGTCTAGTCCTTATTAGTGCAGATCGAATGCTATCGATCATGTTGCAATGTGGCCACCAGTCTAGGTGACTCGACACTGCGGGCACTATGTATTGAGATTAGATGGTGGTTGGGGGTAGTCAACAGGAAACCCTGGACCCGGGTTTCGTGCTACTTGGCACTCGTCAGCAAGGTGTACCTGTAATCTTGAGGGAACTGGTGCTCCCTGGCGGATTCGATCTCGTGTCACCCAGCTTCACAGTCAGAGACGTTACCACTGAGCTATCCGAGCCGTGACTAACTTCCTGTAGGACTGAGATGTAATCACAATTGATTGATCACTGGGTGGTGATCAATGTCATGCTTGTCTAGTCCTTATTAGTGCAGATCGAATGCTATCGATCATGTTGCAATGTGGCCACTAGTCTAGATGACTCGACACTGCGGGCACTATACAGTGAGATTTAGATGGTGGTTGGAGGTAGTCAACAGGAAACCCTGGACCCGGGTTTCGTGCTACTTGGCACTCGTCAGCAAGGTGTACCTGTAATCTTGAGGGAACTGGTGCTCCCTGGAGGATTCGGTCTCGTGTCACCAGTTCCCTCAAGATTACAGTTACACCTTGCTGACGAGTGCCAAGTAGCACGAAACCCGGGTCCAGGGTTTCCTGTCGACTACCCCCAACCATCATCTAGTGCTCCCAAGTTTTCAATGGTGGTCTAACATCGATCGATACACGATCTCAATCAAAGGTTTAACAATCTCCACAATCCCATACTGGTGGTATGAAATAATTAGAGAATGAATTAATTGATGTTGGATTTCATTAAAGAACGTTCAATATAACAAATATAATATTGAAATCTATATTTTTACTTGAAATGAGCTCCCATATTCATATTTAAGAAAAAAATGTGTGAAGAGTTTTTCAACGAGGTTTACCTCTGAAGATGATCTTCGAAAAGTTTAGCTCCGATAATAACAATTTTTTATTTAATGAAGGACTTGATGCACGAATTTCAATGCGAAACCCTCTCATTTCTGTAAAAAACCAACATTTAGAGAAGAAAATATGACAATCACCAAAATGATTCTTGGTTATTTTCCTGGTTAGCGTTTTTTTAGTTAGTTAGTTTTCTACAGGATGGGGTCGCTAACCTCATGCCCAACCCTCTTCCCTTATCCGGACTTGGGGCCGGTGGTAGCCGCAGAGGGGCTTCAGACGGAGTTCTTGATTCTAGTAGTAATTAGTCAACGTCATAGGTTGTAAACATTTTGTACGAGTCAGTGACTATATTCAGGGGTTAACAGGTAGAAGAAATTATTCAGTTGAAGCAAAGTATGACAAAAAAATTATTAAGAAGTTCTAGCCGATCATTTATTTAACTCCATAATTGTTTTTTATACTGATAAGAATGAAGCATTAATAATTTTGAAAGGTGACTTCTGTATAATTTACTGTGGTATGTGTAATTCTTACAATATGAAACGAAAGACTACTCATTAATTAGTTCGAACGAGTTTCGACCTCCATGGATATTATGGATTTTTATGAAACGTTACTAAACTTCATTCTAAACGAGAACTGATCTGGTCAGAATCTAATTAACCTTATTACCAAACGTTCTATCAGTTTTTCTCTGTTATTTCATACTTACAGAACTGATTATGAAGAATAGAAAGTAACACTGATCTGAAGAATAACATCATGTTTTCTCGACAATGTCAGTAAGATTGAGCTTGTTAAGCTGACTACGAGGTGTGGATGTCATGTTCTCAGGAACAAACTTTGATATTGGTTAGAATGCTTTTAGCTAGATTCGTACGAAAGAAATAAGAAAACGAAATATTGAATATTAAATCTCTATTATTGATTGGTTTTAATGTATTATTTACCTCTGAACACAATGAACAATTAACCATACTTACGTAAAACTGTTACCCATCGTGAAAGAGCATAGACTGTCCACCAACATTCTTTATCGAACTCTGTCATGAGCAATCCTTTCCAGTTGTTATTTATATGCTTATTTCTGCTTCCAATTCTCGACGTAGTGTGTTCATTGGCCGTCCTCTTTTCCGTGTCCCTTCAGAATTCCAAGGTAGTACTTGCCTCGTGATGCAGTTCGATGATTTCCTTAATGTTTGTCCTCTCTACTTGCAGTGTCTTTTACTAATTTTCTATTCAATTGGAAGTTGGTTTATTCTGTTCCATAATAGGATGTTGATGATGGTATCCGAGGACGGATATTGAGTATGTTGCGTAGACAATGGTTTATAAATACTTGTACTATTTTGATGATGGTTGCGTAGGTTGTGGAAGTTTCAGCTCCATACAGTAGAACTGTGTTGACGTTCGAACTGAAGTTTCTGACTTTGATATCGGTCGAAAGTTGTTTTCAGTTCCATGTGTTGTAAAACTGTAAGAATGCAGTTCTTGGTTTGCCATTATTCTCCTTTACGTTTGCTACCCAGATACATAAAAAACTCCACCACTTCCAGAGTTTACCCATCAAGTCCCTTTGAGTTGATGTTCTTTGTGTTAAATTTGAGAATGTTTTTCTTTTTCTCTTATATATGTTGAGATCTACTGATGCAGAAGCTTATGCTATACTAACTGTCTTCATCCTCTATAGCTCTTCTAAGGTTACCGTCGGTCCCAAGCTCGCACAAAGCAGGAGAGTTGAGTTTAGGGTCAGGAACCTCATCTTATACAAAACAACTTTACTTAAAAAAGAACACTAACGAGAATAAACAAATTAATGTACCTTATACAAATATAACAAATAATTCAATCATATCAACTAATGTGATAGTTATATATTAATCAAGTTTTTTGTTTGTTTCTTTTTAGATAAAAAAGTTAAATGTTATCGATGTACCGATTGTCCTAATCCATTCGATAAAACTCAAATAACTGAATTAGCTAATTGTAATTTTTGTCGAGTAAGTTCATGTAAATTCATATGATATGATGTTATACTTTTCTTTGCGTGCATGAATTTTAATGTATTGACGTCTCGTTCTACCAAAAGATAAATAAGTTAGCAAAAGGGCGGCCTGCATGAATATCTGGGCTACCTGTTCCTACCATCTGATTATTTCAACAAGTTATCTGGGTTTTTTTTCGTTTGTTTTAACTTATAGTTATGTCCATTAATCGCATAACCTATTCAAGCGCTTTTATGAAAAGCCTACGACCTTTCGCTGCACAGGTTACAAAAAAGTACTATAAAAGACATCGTGGTGGTTGGCAATATGCGTTAAAGAGAACACATATTAATCATATGACGATTCCCGAGCTGCTAAATTCTAACTGTCGATCACTAATCAACAAAGTGGACTATTTGCAATTCCTACTAAGTCAAAATATGTATTGTAATTGTGGTGTCATCACAATTCAAGAATCTTGGTTAAATGATTTACAGGATGACTGCCTAGTATCATTACGTGATTTCATAATTTATCGTCAGGATCGATCAAACAATAAAAAGATGCGTGGCGGCGGTGTATTTTTTCTGTGCTGAAAATTCTATATTGTACCAAAACTATAATATTGAATAAAGCCATTAATAATAATAATAATAATAATAATAATAATAATAATAATAATAATAATAATATACAAGGTGAAAGATATGATTGAAGGGGATGATTAGTATTTGATGAGATAACACCTGCCAGGAGTTTGCAAGACTTTAGATGTCTATTTACAACGATATTAATAATGACCTCGAAAGATTCACCACATGCCTTGCTAACTGTCTTCAGCACTCCTCGTAATACAGCAAAGTCTTTTCTCAAAAACCCAGGAAAGAATAATGGAGAACAGTATAGAATAATAGGTAATATACAGGGTTTGACAAATTGTAAGAGTAAATGACCATTAATCTCAAAAGCATACAGCCTCTTTATGTAGTGAATCAGATGGAAAACTTTCTTTGATAACAGTAAAATATGAGAAGACCAAGAGAGATCAGAGGAAAAGATAACACCGAGATAATTGACCTTCGACACTGTTATATCCCGATAAGAATAATGAATGGTAATTTTTAGGATCCATTTATGGACCAAGACTATGAGTATATTTTTATCGTATAATTGTTATGTAACTAAACTGTTCATAATCATGTCCCTCTTATTATGAGTTTTATTTCGACCCATCAACTATTATTATACGATTTACCTTTCTTGAGTTATGGTCTGTCTATTAATTACTACCTCCCACACAGCTACATTTGGCTAAATCTTGTACAGATGTTGTTTCATATTTTATGGTACGTTGTGGTCTGTCTGGTTGATATATAAACCCAGTATATTTGAAATAAATGATTCATATTGCAGAGGCTGAGATTAGTGTTCGATTGATAATTCACTGCTCTGTGATTGGCGGTATCGCTGCGTTATACAATAACAGGGCACACGGGTTCACGAGTTATAACGAACGCTGTGTTTATCAAAGAGTCTCCAATGGCACAAGCATTGCGGGATCCCGAAATGGTGCTTAGATGCCGTTCATGTCTCATGCTAAAGTTAACAGCTTGACATTTAAACGGACTTTTTATCCTGCTTCTCTTTACAAGCCACCCATTATAATTAAAATGAGTACATTGTGAGCACAATAACTGGAATTTATGGAGTTTGAAGCGGGCAATAACAATTATGAACTAAATAAAATAGTGAAGCAAAAGTCTTCATTATGAATGATCTGATAATGTTGTGGCGTGTGCTACTTATATCGATATAAGTAGTTTATAAGGCTAGTTAGGAATAGAATGTTGAGATGATCAAGAAGGAAAGAATGGGAACAGAAATCGATTAGTATGAAAGTGAAGGAACAGTGAACTGTGAGACAATTGATTGATATTTACTGTATGGTTCTCAGATTTTACTAAGAGATTCTGTAACTTTGTGTTCAAATATATTCGATTGTCCCCACTTGTGTTCTTGTTCATCGGGTGTCACGTAATTAATCTGATTCAAGGCAATGTATATAAGCTTGAATTTATAAAAGTTGAGTTCTCTTCAGTCACTGAATCATTATTGTGGGGAAAGTGTTATTTATTTTATTTATCTAAACACATAAACATTGGTACAACGAGGCACCAAACAGGTATGCGCAACATAAATCACTGGGTTTGTGTGAAAGCTGGGATACTGTCTGGGTGTTCAAACCGAAACAGATGGTCCTCTTAGGGAGTCACACCTCGAGCCTTCAATATAAAGGTCTGATCCGAAAGGCAGTGAAGCAATGTCCCATGGTAGACGGTGACCAATAATTGGTTCCCTCAGGATCCTGGATCTCATGTACACCATTGGTTTGGAATCAGAGTTTTCCGATTCCTCTAGGTAGGTTCTCCGTATCCACTAAACTGGTTGGAGCGCCGGATATTGGTTCAAGTTTAAGTCATAAATAGACGTCTTCCAATTATCAAGTATGATTTGGTATATGTAAGTGCTTTACATTTTCAAGTATTTAATAAAATTACTTCGAGTTCTAGACTTCATTTAACTTAAATACAAATTAAGGTAAATAATAAAATTGAAAATCATCTTCATTATTAACTGATATATGAAAGTAGTATTGAAAATAACGGGGTAGCAGATCTCTGTTTCATTTTTTGTTTAGAATAATTGCTCAATGGCCCGGATCCTATTGGAAATTGAACTTGAGCTAGTGAAATAACCAGAATTAAGGATAAATGATCAAACAAATTGAACGCATGTCACGTAATCATTAATAATAATGCTAGGAATAAGAATAGTAATAAATACAATCCTACTAAGTAATATAATAGAACTCATCAGACAAAAAGAAGAATAGTAAGGGATGAAAATGAGGTGAACAGAACAATTAATCAGATTCTGTTTATTTTATCAGATTTTACAGTCAATATGTTGGCTTCTCATTTTTTTTTCCAAGAAAACCCCCACTTAATTATAAATTGATCTTAGAAGGTTCCATTTGTATGCCGGTTAAAATCCTCTTCCTCGACAAATCCTCTTCCTTGACAAATATAGTAGAAATTAGATCATTTCCCATTCCTTGTTGTGTGACATCACTGATTAGTTATAATCGTAAGTGTCTATTACTGAATTTCGATGTAAGATATCATATTCTCTGAGAATCCAGAAGCTTATGAGTTTGATCATATGTGGAGTTATGTATGGACGCCGCTAAAGAGCTGTGAAACTGGATAAAGAATATTTTCAGAACATCATGTTTTTGAACCACTTCTTAAGGTCGCCCTGTTTAACTGTAAATAACCATAGACAGCGTACAATTCATTATACATCATACAAAAATTGGCATACACTATAAGATAAATGAAACTAGATCGTACTATCACATGTTAATCTTTGACTGAATCCTACTGTTATATATTTTATCAAGGGTCGTGTTAGTTGCAGTGAAACAAACATGTTGTGATGTAGACAACTCATCGAAGAGAGTTTTCTTTTTCCTGTTTTAGAGGTTGATTACCTGTCTGGTACTAAACAATAGCTTTGGTAACAATTTCATTCGGTGAATCATTTCAAATTTGTCTCTTAATGACGAAATGAATTTGATTATTGTCGGAGAACATTCATTTCATAACACAACGTAACGATTATAACAAAGTGGAAGTCGCTTAAAATGATAGTTGAAAAGCTTCTTCCTACTTGTAATTATTAGTATTTCATTTTGGACTATCATTAGTGAGATGGATGACATTGTTCAATATTTTTCATTGTTCAATTCCAATCAAGAATATTTTTACATGTCTTAATGTATAGTACTGATTATAGATTTATATCCGTGATTTAATACTTAGATTTATGCCTACTGAGGTTTATGAATACGTAAGTCTTCTACCGAATTAGTCACAACCCAGTAGTAGACTATAGAAAATTTTTGTAGATGTAAGTTATTTGTGGGTGACGATTGATATCACTGACGTATATGTTTAATATATCATCTTCAGTTTGAGGTTGTGGAGATTGTTGAATTTCATGAACTAACCAATGTTAGACCACCATCGAAAACCTGGAAGCATTAAATGTTCGTTCTGTCCTAGTATGAGACTCCTCAAGCAGTGCTCATTCACGATTCCTCACGCTAACTTCTGATCTGTAGATCACTGAGATGGCATCTAACAGTGTTAATCTCTAACTTCAACCAATTCATGATGTTGAATACCAGGACAAATTAGCCGTCCAGTGCTTCCAGGTTTTCAATAGTAGTCTAACATTAATCATCAGTTCATGATTTCAATGAGATTTAATAATATATTCGAAATTTTTTTTAAAAAAAAATCTTTTCAGACGGTTTACACTTATCGTGATGAAGATAATTATAGAATTGCAAAAGATTGTGTAGCAAGTTGTGTTCCACAAGATCGTCGTGGTGGTAAAGCTGGCCTAGTAACTGAATGTTGTGATGAAGATTATTGTAATGCATCACCTAAACATTATTCTATTTCATTTTTATTAATT